GCGTTATTATACGTATCCAGTTGAACATTTGTAAATCTACCGTAGGAATATTTGAGAGTCTATCTTCAGGTGAGAAAAGATGAGATACTTTTATTTTATCTCACGAATCTAGGAGTTATATCTTACGAATCTTTGTGAGTGAGGTTAAGGGGGGTAGTTGGAGGTTAAGGGAGGTAGTTGGAGGTTAAGGGAGGTAGTTGGAGGTTAAGGGAGGTAGTTGGAGGTTAAGGGAGGTAGTTGGAGGTTAAGGGAGGTAGTTGGAGGTTAAGGGAGGTAGTTGGAGGTTAAGGGAGGTAGTTGGAGGTTAAGGGAGGTAGTTGGAGGTTAAGGGAGGTAGTTGGAGGTTAAGGGAGGTAGTTGGAGGTTAAGGGAGGTAGTTGGAGGTTAAGGGAGGTAGTAGGAGGTTAAGGGAGGTGGTTGGAGGTTAAGGAGGTAGGTAGGAGGTTAAGGGAGGTAGGGAGGTTAAGGAGGAGGTTAAGGGAGGTTTGGAGGTTAAGGAGGCAGTTGGAGGTTAAGGGAGGTGGTTTGGAGGTTAAAGGAGGTAGTTGGAGGTTAAGGAGGTAGTTGGGTTAGGAGGTAGTAGGAGGTTAAGGGAGGTAGTTGGAGGTTAAGGGAGGTAGTTGGAGGTTAAGGGAGGTAGTTGGAGGTTAAGGGAGGTAGTTGGAGGTTAAGGGAGGTAGTTGGAGGTTAAAGGAGGTAGTAGGAGGGGGGTGGAAGATGACGTGCTGTATATGTATTTGAGACTCTGGGACGTAAACAAAACCGAATCAGTAAGAGTTGTATGATATCACGCATATATAAACAAGAGCGATGGATGAAAGCCTTCAGTGGTGTCCTGCATGGGGGAGGGGGAGGGTGACTCACTACGGCAGGAGGCGAGGATGAGTGTTGTTGTTTACTGTCGGTGAGTCAGGCAGGCGAGGTGGACCAGGAGGGGGAAGGAGGGGAGGATTTGGTTGCTCTGTTGACGACGCCTGGCGATGGAGGGCACGCCTGGCGAAGAAGGGGGCGGTGGGGGACAAGGTGATCGGTGGCGACTAACAGGTAAATTGTGACGAGATACGATTGTGACGGAAAATCAGCGACAGGGGACATTTGACGGGTAATTTGTAACGGGAAATCAATGACGTGGGGTATCTGATGGGTGGTTGGGTGATGGAAGACGGGTGATTAGTGACAGAAGGCAGGTGACGGGAGGGATTGATTGTAAGTTGGGATATATAAGTTAGACGGAAATAGGGCGACGGAGGTGATGGGCGTGAAGCAGCAGAGGTGGGACCAAGGACCTCGACACATCCGTCAATCAAGGTTTAATGTGTACAGGGGAGGGAGGGGGGCAGGGAGAGAGAGGGAGAGAACAAGGTGGTACCATCCCCCTGATAACATCACAAGCAACACAGAATGGTGGTGATCTCATCGCATTCACCCCCACACACACACACAGTGGTTGGTAGGAACACTCTTATGTCTCTGATTTTTTTCTTTTTTTTACGCTTCTGTAGTTCGTCACGCCTTGTTTAGGTCGTCAGAGGCTTGATGACTGAGGCGGGCGTGTGTTAGGGTGGGGGGCGTGTGGTGCTAAGTGGGCGTGTGTTAGATTGAGGGCGTGTGGTGCTGTAGGCGTGTGTTAGAATGAGGGCGCTGTGGGCGTGTAGTCCTACGTGGTTTTGTTGGAGACAGGACACACTAATGGGTGGCGAGGAGGGAAGTAAGTGTGTCAGTCGTACCAGGAGAGAGGTGGACCAAGGGGGTGATGGGCGAGCACAGGAGGTTAACAAGCTGACCGAGGCGAGGATCTTGGAGTGGTTTAAGTTATACACAAGAAAGTTGATTGTTAAAGTGTGTGTGTGTGTGAGAGAGCGCTTTATGACACACACACACACACACACACACACACTCTCCTCGACCCCCTACACTAATAACAATAACAAAAACTTGGCGTGGTAAGCAGCCATCTAGTGCAGCAAAAACTGACGTCTGTACCCTCCTCCCCCCCTCCCCTCTTGTCGTGGGATATACGGTGCACTTCGGTTATATCTTCACGTGAATGACCTTGTTAGCTATGTACAAACTAACAACCATCACGACCCGAACGAACCAGGGCGATGAGGTCTCTAGTGTGGGTTACTATACGGTCGATTTTTACGTGTGAGGGGGGGCGAGGAGGAGGAGGGGGGGCAGCACGGGAGAGAGATTCACAGGTGATAACATTTAATTAACCGGACCCACATGTGATAATTTTTCCAGTCAAGATGAACTTATCACCTGGGTAGCTGGGTGTACCTGTTTTGGCGTAATTATAGGGAGAGGTGGCAGAGGGGTGGGAGGGGGCAGGGGGTGGTGATGGGCAGGAAGATGCATCCACCCCTCACAATTTTTTTCCCACAACTTTTGCTCAGATGAAACAAAAAGAAAAAAGAATTATATAATAATTACTAGTTCTTTGTTATCTTTTTTTTTTTTTTGTTTTTGTTTTACAGACAACAAATTAATCGTAATTTCTTATCTTTTCAGGTTCGGGTGTGGAGACTTGAGACGGACTTTCGAATGTCTAGCCAGATAACTTAAGAGAGAAGAAGGTCTTAATCTGGGTGTTTTAGGCCAGATTATGCCATCACACACACACACACACACACACACACACACACACACACACAATACATAATAAGGAAGCCATACGGGAAGCAAATATTTCGTTTTTTTATGATAAAGTTATCTCGTCTGGCATTTAGGAGAAGGGGGGGGGGGGAGGAGGATCTGGTGGATGTTATCTTAGTTGTTTTTGTTATCTTCTGACTGACTGTTTTGACGATAATTCATCTTCTGAGGATTACCAACACGCCGTCTGTAGTGTTGGGTTGATGTTACTGTGTGTTACTCGGGCTTCAACAACTACGGTCTTTTACATGAGTACTCTTTAGGTACTTCATGCACTAGACATCATAACTATTAAGGCCCTTGGGTGCGATGAGTTAATCCCCTTAAGTATGATGAGTTAATGCCCTTAAGTATGATGAGTTAATCCCCTTAAGTATGATGAGTTAATCCCTTTGAGCATTATGAGTTAATACTCTTGAAAGGATTTAACTCATCTGACTCCACGGATTTAACTCATTAAACTCAAGGGATTTAACTCATTATACTCAAGGGATTTAACTCATTATACTCAAGGGATTTAACTCATTATACTCAAGGGATTTAACTCATTATACTCAAGGGATTTAACTCATTATACTCAAGGGATTTAACTCATTTTACCCAAGAGGTTTAATCTCACTCATGGTTACTCTGATTGACATACAATAATATAATCAGCAAGTTAACATTATACAGTATAGAACAAAATCAAATATTTAACATTACACACACACACACACACACACACACACACACACACACACACACACACACACACACACACATTGCCCTCCTCCTACTCCTCGGCGTCAGGATTTCATGTTCATAAGTCAAGGAGGGAGGTAGTCAGTGGCAGGGAATAGAAGGTGACGTAGGACTTGGCTTCTTTGCTGTCCTCGGGAGTCAGGTTATGTCATTCATGTTTATTCAGCGTAAGACAAGTTTAGTAAGAGCGGCAACCATTATCGTGGGCTGGGATGGGCTGGGATGGGCTTGGCTGGGATGGGATGGGATGGGGTGGGATGGGGTCGTCTTCATGGCCTAGTGAGGCTTGACCTTGTTAGTGACTGTTTTTTTTGTTTTGTTTTTTCTTCATGTTTAACTAAGGCTTCTTGGCTGGGTGGTTTAAGGTCTTGGTTAGCCTTCATGTTAAAACAACTAAACCAAGAATTTTTAGAGGGTTTTAATTAAATACTTCACAATGACAGTGGGTTTATATATACTATTTCAGTCCTTGAAGAAAAATATCCCATGGGTGATTAGCCTTGGAGTGAAAATTTTTAATAGTTATCCAAAAAAATATATGAGTTATGTAAGAAGCTCAACCACTCATATGGTACAGACTCAAGGTTTATACTGGGTAGCCTTAATTCCTGCACGTAGCTCAGATGAATAGCTCACCCTTGCCTCTACACACACGTCTCCTACACATGAAATTTATCCTGTACTTGATAGTGTCGTGGTGGTGGTGTAGCTGACCGCAAGACCTGGCAGAGTACATAGTCACACATACACTAGTAGACAGATGAGAGACCATATATAAACCTGGTTGGGTAGATAGAACTTTCAGTGTATTAGGCGCCCGGAGTACACACACACACGGAACCTTCCAGCCTCGTCCCCCCATAATTAATTTTCGAATGTGAATATTTTTTTTTACACTATGAGGCTTTTGAGTAATTACATATCTCGTTATTATATACTATACATCTGATACTTCTTACTGCTAAAGAGTACATTCAAGTCAGGTTAGGTTACGTGATAGTCGACACACTTTACGGACGGACTTCCCACGTAAATGTTTGTTGTGATTTTAGCTGTTTACTTCTTTTACAACATAATGAAAGTTGTAAATATATGTAAATACAGTGATACATTATTTCCTGCCTTGTAAATTGGTGATCTTGTAGGGAAGAGTTGAGGCAGTGAGGGGTCCCGATTCTCAGATGTTGTAAATAATGGATATTTCTATTTACTGATGATTTAAGAATGCACTAAACTTGTTAACTTAAGGTAAAGTACAAATACAACGTACAAAACAAAGATTACATTGAGAATTTACCTTAACTAAATACTTTCATTTAACACCAAGTAAAATTAACGCGATCAACCTTTAGAACAACTCCTTATGTTAACTGTGTGTGTGTGTGTGTGTGTGTGTGTGTGTGTGTGTGTGTGTGTGTGTGTGTGTGTGTGTGTGTGTGTGTGTGTGTGTGTGTGTGTATGGTTACCTCGAGTGTTATTTTGGGATGTTCTTTTAGTGGTTGAGTTTAAGTTGATAAATTTGATGCATTCTTACGACATCACTTACGAGGAATATTGTGTGACCGTCTGTGATTCTCTGGTCTGGGAGGTTGGAAAAATAATTCTTTTACACATTAGGTTGCCGGAAATGAGTGATCTGACGTGTTAAGTGACTGTTTTACTCGACTTCTGCTTGGTGACTCTGGCAAATAGTCATCTATGGAATGAAGTAGGTACAGGAACTTTGTGTGAGATATTTGCATAGATTGTCATCACACCGTGTAACCTGCAGAAGGAATGCATATACGAAGGTCAATGTGAATGAAGGTATAAACTAGCTGAATTATTTGGTAGCCTGGACACACACAAAAAAGAAACCGTGAAAAAAGCTGTTTTGTTTGAAGGAAAGGATAAACATTTTAAGTGCAGTTTTGAACGCGCAACAAATGAAACTACGAACGGCTGCCAAGTAAACAAGACGATGAAGGCCAGCATGAGGTGGGCCGCTGCTACCTCCCCTCTCCTCTGTTCTCTGGTAGTGTGTCTCTCCGTCGTCACTCCAGCATCTGCAGAAGGTATGTTTGTGTTTTGTTTGGTATATTTTTATATTATAACTCTTGTTTTCCCCGACTGTTGGGTACACGACATGTTTGTTTGTGTGGCGAGGTCTTCCCCTTCCGCGCCAGGGCCATCGGTCCCTCGCGTACACTAGTGGGTGTTTGTCCTTCATCTCCCTCTTCCTATCTCTCTTCCTCCTCCTCCTCCCACGTCGTCCTCCACTCCAAGCCAGTATATCAGGTCATCCTCTCCCGTGTGTCTGATTCTGTCTTTCTCTTTTATATAATAGTAACAGGTAAGTAATTTTATCTTCTAGTTTCCCTATAAATGATAACTTAATATTATTTTTAAATATTTCTGTATTTTGTTCCATAGTTTTCTCATACTTTAATGTATTCATGTGTTTATGTTCCCGTCTCGCCATTATGCGTCAGTTTTCAACCCATGGATTTTCACTAATGAGCTTTTCTTCTCGCCTCTCATATTTTATTAATTTCCATGGTTCTTACCAGCCGTCATCATCACCCCCCCCAACCCCCCGCGACGATTTTCTAATTCCCCCCCCCCCACTCCCACACACCCACTTCCGCCCTCCCACAACACCTGACGTCATTCTCATTGTATCTTTCATGTATATAAATTACCACAGGGTGTCCAGAGTAACTAGACGTTCCTTCATTCGCTGCCGTTTATTCTTGCTGTCTGCCTTACTTTATGTGTCATAATGGTACATACATACATACATATAGTACATACATACATACACACATACATACATACATACATACATACATACATACATACATACACACATACATACATACATACATACATACATACATACATACATACATACATACATACATACATACTCCCTATTCCTCACCTCTCCCTTTCTAGTGCCCCCTCCCCTCATGGCTGCCACTCAACAACTCATCACGGATAACAAAAACAGGAGGCGGCGGCTAATTTCCCCGAGTATCGAATAACCTCAACTCTTCCCCCTCCCTGACTAGTGCCGCGCGCCCTGCCTTATATATTTCCGTATAGTAGACATTTACGACTCACTTGTGCCCTTAATGACATGATGAAATATCCACATATAAGCAGACGATCTCAGGTAACGGGAGGAGACGTATAGGCTGTAGATAACTAGTTTTTAATAGGCCACAACTGTCTGTGTTTTGTCCCCCTGCGAATTCCAAGACGTCGACATGTCTCCTTATCCACCCTTTATGGGGGATTCTTGTCGACATTTAGTTGTTTGGGAGAATTCCGCTGACTGTGGGTGGTCAAGGGGAGGTGGTGTCCTCAGGGTAAGTTGACGGCGGAGTGTTATCTGAGGCCATAAGACTCTTCTCCTGGATTTTGAATATTTTGTGATCTCGTCAACATTCCTGTCTGGTGCTGTGGTGTGTCTAGGAATTTATATAATACTAATTGTCCTTTAAACCTAAATTTGCGAAAGAGAATATCTGTTTACATTGAGCGGCGAAAATGCTCACAGGGACACCAGATTATACTCCTGCAGAAGGTTAGATCAGGCAGGAATGACGCCGAGTTGAAATCCTCCATCAACACCACAAGTAGTTTAGGCCGCTGCTCTGGGGGATTAGCCTTCTGTGTAAACAACTCCCAGATACCGACAAGACCAAAGTAAACACCCGCGCCTTTCTTTAGGTACAAAGGAAAACAATTGGTACCTCATTAAGCCTCGCCTAAACCAAACTCACCGTCAGATTTTTCATTTAGATACCTAATGGGTAGATTTGAGGCGTGTAGAGGAGGCAGGCGTGAAAATAACTCCCAGGGGGTGACGGGCCGCGCGCCATCAGTGTTGCCTCCTCTGACGTCTTGAGGGCCCCTAGCGTCTCTCCCCGTGTTGGCTACGTCACTCTTTGTCTCCAATAATCCCTTTTCTTTCTTTTGCTTTTTGTTACTTTTTTACGCATTAAGACAAAGAGATCCCCGATTATTATATTGTGAGGTAAAATCACGACCTAACCTACCATAGCATCACCTAACCTAACCTACCCTAACCTAACCTACCATAACCTAACCTAACATAGCATCACCTACCCTAACCTACCATAACCTAACCTAACCTACCATAACCTAACCTACCCTAACCTAACCTAACCTAACCTAACCTAACCTAACATAACCTAACCTACCATAACCTAACCTAACCTACCATAACCTAACCTAACCTAACCTAACCATAACCTAACCTAACCTAACCTAACCCTAACCTAACCTAACCTAACCTATAACAACCTACCCTAATACTACCTAACCTAACCTAACCTAACCTAACCTAACCAACATAGCTTCTGCATCACATTATTAACCTAACCTAACCTTTTTTTCATTTCACCAGATAGGAAAAAAAAGTCACAGACAAAAAAATAAGATAATGATATGAGATAAAATAAGACTTAATACTTCACTTAACTTAATGAGATATGACTTTAAAAAGACTTATAGGAGTAGAAAAAAGTATTAGAAAAGTCTTATAGGTCTTAACACACACACACACACACACACACACACACACACACACACACACACACACACACACACACACACACAGGGGACCAAAATAGCACAAGCAATATAGTGGCGGCACTCTGGGTAATGAGGTGAGTGGTGATGACGGGAGGGAGACGAGGGGGAAGGGGTCGACACCTACCTATATTAACCTGGCCACCTTAATTAGTGTGGCTCCACCTTGCCTCCTCCTCCGCTGTTGGTGGTATTTTCTGTTCCGTCTTTCTTCTTTCTTTTTATTCAATTTTCTCTTAGTTTGTCTTTCTTATTTTTTTTTCGTATTCTGGATTTCTCTCTCTCAGGGCCCTGATGAGAGGTGACAGTAAAGACCCTGAAGTAATCCCTAGTATTAGCAGACACTGTCCTCGTAGGTACTAGTAATCCCTCCTTACTAACCCGGTAATCCCTCCTTACTAATCCGGTAATCCTACCCTCTGACTGGCCCCGGTATTAAACGCTTTAAGGCGGATTAGTGTTCGGGCGTGCTCTTACGACTGAGGCTGTGTTGGTTAGGTTAGGTTACGTTTTCACGAAGGTATATTTCAACTTCCAAATAGGTGGATGACCGAAACGATAATTTTTTTTCATTTCTTTAACGTTTTACTGATGTTTTTTCCTTCGTTTTTTTTATGGTTTTCCCCTTACGTGTTTATATTTACTCTTGGAAGATCTGAGGATTTACCATATAAAAATGTTACCCCTCACAGTAGGTCTTTTGTACCATAGAAAACGGTAGAGTTGTAATAGAAAATTGAGAACAGGGACGCTTGTCAAGGGGGTTTGTTTTTCTCCATATGTTTTTTGTTTTGTTTACGTTATATCAGGGAGCCTCAGTTTAATTAGTTACGGTACACACACACACACACACACACACACACACACACACACAGTTGATGATCACTTCATTTCTTACGTGCTCTAAAATTGCACCGTGGAGAGTTGTGAGTGACCAGTTTTTGTCGGTCATTGTTGATGGTCGTCTTAAATTGTGGGTTATATAGTGTTTTGTCCTCTCTCTCTCTCTCTCTCTCTCTCTCTCTCTGGGCTTGAGGACTAAGGTTAGGTCCATTAGGCTGGTCCTCAGAGAGCCACAACCCACTCTACTTGGAGGAGCACCTTCCAGTAGTGACACTTCACCCTACATCACCTCCTACGCCACCGTCAGGAGGGGAGTCAGCGTGTGTATATAATGTCAGCAGTTGTTTTTGTTATTCTCAAAGGTTCGTGATTTAAGTTTTCCCGTGAGTTAACGTAATATGGTGTCCTTCATTCCATTTTTAACGTACTGGACGTATATTTGATGAATTGAAGTTTGGTAAGATTATTTTAAGGATTCGAACCCTAGTGTAATATGATTCGAACACTAGTAAGATAGGATTCGAACTCTAGTGAGAATTTGAATCCAGGTAAGAATATGTTAGGATTCGAACACTAATAATAACAAACAATTGATGTGACGCTTCAGATACACAAACACACTGCCATCTCTACTGACGGTGGTGGAGGGTGAACTTGAAGTGTCACTACAGGAAGGCGTTGCTAGGGACACCATATTTGATGACTACGTTGAGGGAAAATATTTATATATATACTGTATATTGAACCCATTTTGTTTATTTTTGTATGTAATTATTAATATTTGTAACTCATCTATATATTGTAAAGTATTAGAAAAATCAGATTTAATTATTATGGGATGTGACTATGGTGTTAACTGCGGTAGTGAAGGTGTTGGGTGGTGATGGGTGGTGCCTTGAGTCGGTAGTGAAGGTGTTGGGTGGTGATGGGTGGTGCCTTGAGTCGGTAGTGAAGGTGTTGGGTGGTGATGGGTGGTGCCTTGAGTCGGTAGTGATGGTGGTGGGTGGTGATGGGTGGTGCCTTGAGTCGGTAGTGAAGGTGTTGGGTGGTGATGGGTGGTGATGGGTGGTGCCTTGAGTCAGTAGTGAAGGTGTTGGGTGGTGATGGGTCGTGCCTTGAGTCGGTAGTGAAGGTGTTGGGTGGTGATGGTGGTGATGGTGGTGCCTTGAGTCGGTAGTGAAGGTGTTGGGTGGTGATGGGTCGTGCCTTGAGTCGGTAGTGAAGGTGATGGGTGGTGATGGGTGGTGCCTTGAGTCGGTAGTGAAGGTGTTGGGTGGTGATGGGTCGTGCCTTGAGTCAGTAGTGAAGGTGTTGGGTGGTGATGGGTCGTGCCTTGAGTCGGTAGTGAAGGTGTTGGGTGGTGATGGGTGGTGCCTTGAGTCGGTAGTGAAGGTGTTGGGTGGTGTTGGGTGGTGATGGGTGGTGCCAGAGTCGGTAGTGAAGGTGTTGGGTGGTGATGGGTGGTGCCTTGAGTCAGTAGTGAAGGTGTTGGGTGGTGATGGTGGTGATGGGTGGTGCCTTGAGTCAGTGGTGAAGGTGTTGGGTGGTGATGGGTGGTGCCTTGAGTCGGTAGTGAAGGTGTTGGGTGGTGATGGGTGGTGATGGGTGG